CTGGTTTAAATGCTTTAAAAGTGATGATTTTGATGTGAAAGACAAAGAACGTCCAAGTCAACTGAAAAAGTTTGAAGACTAACAATTACAAGCATTATTGAGAAGATGCGTGTCAAACTCAAAAACAACTTGCAGAAAGATTAAACGTTGTTTAGCAAACAATTTCTTATCCTTTTTAAGCAATGGGAAATATTTTAAAGGTAGGAAAATGGGTGCCACATCAACTGAACAAAAGACAAATGGAAAACTGAAAAGTCTCAGTAAAATGTTGCTTCAACGGCACAAAAGAAAGTCTTTTTTGCATCTAATTGTGACTGGCAATGAAAAATGGATTTATTTTGAGAATCCCAAATGCACAAAATCATGGATTGATTCAGGTCAATCATCAACATTGACTGCAAGGCCAAATCGCTTCGGAAAGAAGACAATGCTCTGCGTTTGGTGGGATCAGGAAGGTGTGGTGTATTATGAGCTTCTAAAACCAGGTGAAACCATTAATACTGATCACTACCGACAACAAATAAGCAATTTGAACCACCCTTTGATCGTGGAACGACCAGAATGGGTTAAAAGACACGGCAGAGTAATTTTGCTTTATGATAATGCACCATCACACACTTCAAAACCAGTTAAAGACACATTAAAAGATCTTGCTGGGGAAGTATTAACCCACCCACTGTATTCACCAGACCTTGCTCCTTCAGATTACCACTTGTTCTGATCGATGGCACACACACTCTCTAAGCAGCACTTCAAAACATACAAAGAAGTGGAAAATTGGGTCTCTGAATGGTTTGCCTCAAAACAAGAAAAGTTCTATTGGGACGGTACCCACAAATTACCTGAAAGATGGGGGAAATGTGTAGCTAGCGATGGACATTACTTTGAATAAAGCACTTTTGATGTTTCTCTTGAAATTATCGTGTTTTCTTTGATTACGAAATCTGCCATTATTAACTGGTACACCTAGTAAGATACCAACATCAGAACCTGGGATCTGAGTATCAAGATTAAATAAAGACAGCCCAGCTGGAGTGGCTCAGTGGTTGAACATTGACCTATGAACCTGGAGGTCACGGTTCGATTTCCGGTCAGGGCATGTGCCCAGGTTGAAGGCTCGATCCCGAGTGTGGGGCGCGCAATGGATGATTCTCTCTCATCGCTGTTTCCATCTCTCCCTCTCCCTTCCTCTCTCTAAAAAAATAAAATAAAATAAAAAGATTAGGTAAAGACATGGTCCGGAGAAATTCTGCCCAGGACTAAGCACACTGGAGTGGTATACACTGTTGTGCCACTGCACAGTGATTAATACTGCTGTGTCCATGTAGGCCCGAGGGGAGACCCCTGGAAACTGTCAGGTGAGACACAGGTGAGGAAAAGAGGTGATAAGGGGGTGGTTGGGGGAGGACTTATAGATGGGAATGCAATCAAAGTCTTCACTTGTCTGGAGGGGTGGGTCTCAAAATGTGGTCCCCGACCAGCAGCAGCAGCATCACCTGGGAACAAGTGAGAAATGTACACTTTGCATGCCGCCCCTCCTAGACCAAGGGAGTCAGAAACTTTGGTGGAGCCCAGTCAGGCATTTGAATAGGGCCTCCTGCTGATCCTGAAGCATGCTAGCGTTTGAGAACCACTGACCTGGAATTACTCCTGTTGTGATAATTGCTCCTCAGGAGAAACAGCCTTACTCTCCCCTGCTGTGGACAGTGGCTCAGAGAGGACATGCGCTCCATGCTGGGACTCACAGCGGATGAGCTGCAGAGCTGGGGCTCCCAACCCCAGTCGTTCCCAAGCTTCCTGGCAGGCAGTCGGGCAGAGCAGGGTGCCCGAGGTACTGAGAGAGCTGCTT